TGATTAACAGCTGCGCGCGAGCGCGACGCGCTCGAACATGATCAATGCGCTTGTTTTACTGCGAACGCGCCGATCATTCAAGTGTGCAAAAGGCAAATATTTATGCCTCTCGACTGCTTCTCCCTTTCTCTTTGCAGCGGGCCAGATCATTCATTCTGTTGTCTGGCACCCACAATCGGGATAGAGAGCCAAGAAAGGTTCGAATTACGCCGAGTTGACGGCAGCGGTCATACGTGGGTGCTGGTTCGCTGGCCCGCATTAATAACGGTGGTCTTATATTCTACAATAAGCAAGGGCCCCACCCGAACCGGGCAATTTTGGCCTCTGCATTCACAAAGCACGCGGATTAAACGCGCGGGGTGCCGCCCTTCCATTGGAACGCGCTGGAATTGCGATTCACGGCTGGGGCCTCAGTAATACCTTCTTCGCCTTGCCCATTAATCAGATAAAACTAGATTAAGCTCCGAGAATGATATGCATCATATAAATGACACTGTTGCCGACGCAGTCGGCTGGGTGCAGTTGTGAAAGCTATGGGATATCACAAGCATTCGATCACAAAACGCTGTCTTAAAAGCTTCCACTCAACGGTGACCAGCTGTGTCTTATTAGGTCTGCAGCAGACTTCACGCCATACATTTGGCAGCAAGGTATGATGGCTGCGGAGAAAATCTTGAAATGACTCAGACATACTTGTAGCTAGTGTATGAATGAGTTGCGTGCACATTTGAAACGCATCTAATTATTTTCCTTGGAGGACATTTAGCTTTTGCCGTTTTTCAGTAATTTGAATGTTAAAGGCTATTTGAGCTTTGAAAGCTTCCAGGCCTTGTATCATGACGGCTTTTGACTCAATGGCATGGCTACACGTTGCTAAGTGTGTGATTCGTCCACGTCCGGGAGACTGAAATGCGTTAATTGTTCTGGTCCGTGGTATTGTCTTTCGGAATTGGTTTATGTTAGGGCCGTTTTTAGCATATGCGGGGGATTGGACCATACAGTACACTGCTTCGAGTTCTGAGTCGATAATTTTTTGTCGATTTTTCTAAACGAACCCACATGTCGAGGCCACGTTGATACGCTTCTTCGCGTCCTCATCCTGCCACTGTCTTGGCAATATATCGAAATATATATGTATGAAAGCCTGTCTGCGGTCAATGGTCCAAAAATCTGGACGGTCTATTCATTGCTTTTCGTAAAAAATAAAGTATAAGCTAAATACAGTGCAAGAGCATAACCCGAGTATAAGATAAAGCATCCCACTATTTGTGTTTATGAACATAGCATATTGTTTATCGTCGGCCACGGAACATCTCCTGCCATGGACAGGCTGAGAGGTCGCACTCGAGTATTCCCGCGCGACGTGGCGTTGTCTGAGATCGTGACCGTTTCCGAGGGCGCGTCATGGCTCGGCGAAACCGATAAACGCGGTGACGCCATTCTGACGTCACCGCTGATGCTCCGACCATGTTCCTCGATAGATAGATGACGTCACCAGTGCCATGTGCGATACTGGTGACGTCATGAGCTGGTCCCCGTCCAGCTTTGCCATCCAGAGTCCAGCAGGGTGTTGCCTGCTTCCAGGCAGTGGCGATGTAAGTAACAGGGGCTGCAGCGTTCAGCTGCATCACGACTTCGACTGGTGTCAAGGTGGATTTGTCACCGTGATTAAGTTATTTCAGTAACCATTTCCGCTTCGAGCTGCGTTGTAGTCTTGCAATTACATGCAAATACTTCACTGCTCTAATTGTGGTGGGATTAGCATATGTGATTGATGATGATGGCATATGTGATTAGCATCAGATTAGGTTTTCCAGCCGTGTTGGGCGTTTTCCCACCCCACGGCTCGAACATCGTCAACATGGCAGGAGCATACGAAGTTCCAGCTTCGCGAGTCTGCTTACCTGCGCACCGACAACGCCTTCCTTTCTGCATGCTTCCGCCCCTGCCCGGGACCGGTGACGCCCTCCCTCCATGTGCGCCTCCGCCCCTGCCCGGGACCGGTGACGCCTCCCTCTCTGCACGCCTCCACCCCTGCCCGGGCCCGGTGACACCTCCCTTCTTGCACGCCTCCGCCCCTGTCCTGCCCGGGACCGGTAACATCTCTTTCTCTGCACGCCTCCACCGCTGCCCTGCCCGGGACCGGTGACGCCTCTCTCCGCAGGCCCCCGCCCCTGTCCGGGAACGGTGATGCCTCCCTCTCCGCACGCCTCCGCCCCTGTCCTACCTGGGACCGGTGACTCCTCCCCCTCTGCACACCTCCGCCGCTGAACTACCCGGGACCAGTGACGCCCTCCTCTCTGCACGCCTCCGTCCCTGCCCTGCCCGGGACCGATGACTTCTCTCCCTCTCTGCACGCCTCCGCCGCTGCCCGGGACCGGTGACGCCTCCCTCTCTGCACGCCTCCGTCCCTGCCCTGCCCGGGACCGATGACTTCTCTCCCTCTCTGCACGCCTCCGCCGCTGCCCTACCCGGGACCGGTGACGCCTCCCCTCTGCGCGCCTCCGCCGCTGTCCTACCCGGGACCGGTGACGCCTTCCTCTCTGCACGCCTCCGCCGCTGCCCTACCCGGGACCGGTGACGCCTCCCCTCTGCGCGCCTCCGCCGCTGCCCTACCCGGGACCGGTGACGCCTCCCCTCTGCACGCCTCCGCCGCTGCCCGGGTTTGCGATGCACGTCGAGCCGCCGACAAAGTGCTTCGGCGCTGTTACCGCGATGCGTCAGCGGTGTAGTCCGGTCCGACAAAACATCACAAAAAGTCCGCTCGCTTCCGGACGGGGTTGCTTGTACCGGCACTGTTCTTCGGAGTGGAGGCGGGGGGGGGGGGGGGGGAAGAGGTTCCGGTGTAAGACCGAGCTCTCATCCCCACCTGCAGAGCCGGAGTGGGTCGGCTGGCAGAGGCGGCCCGGGGAGCTGGTCACCATCACGTTCGAGTTTGATGGCGTCAGAGAGCTGGAGTCTGCTGCGTTCCACGTCAGCAATCACTTCACCAGCGGGGTGAAGGTAAATTGCTGGCCTGTTGTGAAGTGCTTTTACCTGTCTCAACAACTACTCCGACACTATGCGCAGTTGCTTAAGCCTGGCTGCCCTCCCTGCTTGCTTGTTCAAGCGATGATAATGTTGCGAGGGTGATTGCATCACAATTGCACTGAGTTTCAACGCATTGCAAATGACTGATCGCTCCGTCCGTCCTATCTGGTGTAGTCATAAACAAGGACAGGGCTATCAACAAGGTTTTGACAGCGCACCTGATGACCAGTGATATCAATAGCGAGGCCATCAACACCAGCTGGCGCCACCGTCAGATGTTCAGTCGGGCCAGCCTGTACTTCTCGGTGGACGGCAGCGCGTACACCAGCTCCGCGTTGACCCTGGAGCCGCCGGCTGACCGCATCTTCGAGGACGCGCGCCGCCTGGAGGTGCGGCTGTACCGCCAGGTGGGCCGCTATGTGCGGCTCGAGCTGACTGCCGCCGACCAGTGGCTCCTCATCTCAGAGATATCATTCGACAGTGGTGAGTGTGCTCGACACGAACGTGAGTGGAGTTCACAGTCGATAACACCCGGTCCGGGGGGAATACTATACCAGGACGCCGTTGTGTCGTATGCAACAGTTTATTTTAATATGTTCATTATCTTCTCACTTGACGTCAGTTGACGTCCCGGAAGCCAGTGTACTTCGATGTATTTATAATGGCCTTGAGTGCATCTTTCAAACGCAGCCCTCGAGTACAGCTCTAACGCTCTGTCCTCCCCCCGCAGCTCCATCGGCGCACAACGTGACGGACCTCGTGCTGTCCCGATCCGACGGCCCGGCCCAGCTGCCGGAGCCTTCCGAGTCAGAGTCGGAGTCGGAGCCGGTGTTAGAGGAGTCCGGGGAGTCAGAGTCGGCGGCGTCGCTAGCCGTGCTGCTGGGCGTGCTGGGCCTGGTGCTGTTGCTGCTCTCGGCGCTGGTCGGCTATGTGGTGCGGGCCGGCCGGCGGCGGCGCATTGCCGGCGGCTCGGGGCCGAGCCCGCTGCAGCTGCCGCTGGCACGCAACATGAAGGAGCTCAGGAGGAGCGTGCAGCTGACGCCGCGGCACGGCCATGCCCGGCCGCCGGCCGACCTCTACGGCCCGCTGGCCTGCGACGAGGACAAGATCGACCTGGCCGCCGAGCACCACCGCGTGGTGCGGCTCAACTCCGAGTACAACACGCTGGCGCAGCGGCAGCACGGCCGGCCAGCAGACGCCATGTACGACTACGCCGTGCCGGTGGACACGAGCCCGCCGTCGTGCTTGGACGGGCCGGCGGCCGGGCTGGCCGGCACGTCCCGCTCCTGGGACAACCCCAACTACCGGCAGTCGCCGCACAGCGGCGCCCAGTCCAGCAGCCAGCCGTCCGTGTGCAGCATCAGTGAGCTACTGCCGTCGCCCCCGCCGCTGCCGCCGCCGCCGTTGCAGCCGACCTGTGCCAGCTTCGGGCGGCGCCGACGGCTGCTGGCCGGCGGCGTGCAGGGCGTGACGGGCACGTGTGTTTGGGATAGCAGCGGCGCCGGGCCGCCGGCCGGCCGTGCTGCCGTCACCGAGATCAGCGACGAGCTCATCCAGCTAAGAGACAGGATCGGACAGGGACGGTATGGAGAGGTGAGGGACAGGGCTAGATAGGGATTTCATGGAAAGAGGAGGGCTGGAGAGGAAAGGGTGAGCAGAGGGGCGAGTAGCGTTTATTTAAAATATTTCCAAAAAAGTAATGGGCATTGTGATGAATGTGTGTAAGACTAACAACCTTTATGGTGGGAGGACATTCGTGGTGCTGAATTTTGGAGAAGGCATTCGTGTCTGTTGAAGCACGTTGTCAGACAACCGTATCCCTGCACCTTTGGCCTCGCGGACGACACCAACAAGCGAGCGTGCGTGTGCCGCAGATCCGCGTGTGCGAGGTGCACCAACGCTCGTCGACCGACAGTCCGTACCAGGCGCCCTCCCGGCTGGCCACGGCCCGCAGTCTGCGGCCGGGCGCCCCGGCCGAGGCCGCCGGCCGCCTCCGCCGGGAGGCCGAGCCCCTCTGTCGGGTCACCGACCCACACGTGACCCGGCTGCTGGGCCTCTGCACGCTGGAGCAGGCGCCCGGCCTGCTGGTCGAGTACCTGGAGAACGGCGACCTCAACGAGTTCCTGCGAAGGGCACCGCACGACCCGACCCGGGGTGACGGACCACTCGAGTGAGCAGTCCCGGCCGGCGTCTGGCGTTCTGGGGAGCGTAGTGGGCCCAAAACATCGTTGTACGGTATGTTTTTCGTGTTGTGATGCCCCCGGGGGTCAACGCTGAACGCAACGGAATCCGGGAATCACACAAGCAATCCGCGCGAAGTTGCTGCTCCGAACGCGGGCGAGTCGTCTCTCGCGCGGCGGTGGTCGAAATCGCAGGCCTTCGATCACCGCGTTTGTCGATATAGGCCCACTCGCTACCCGGCAAGCCACTCCCAATCTATCCGCAGGCGGTCATGCCCCAGATGTCTCCTATGGGCCCTCTCACGACCCGACAAGCCACTCCCAATCTATCCGCAGGCGGTCATGCCCCAAATGTCTCTGGCGGTCGTCTGACCACCACCTCCCGCAAGGCTCCTTTAAGAATTCTCCGCAATCGCAGCTCACCCGCGCCACCCGATCCACGGCTTTCTGTCGCGACGGTCCGACCCGGCCAAACTGAACCGGGGCAGGAGCACCCCAGAGCTCCTAAAGGTCACTGTGTGGCCGCGCACACGGAAAATTCGCTGTCAGGCGGCGCACCCCGGCAGTTTGTAGCTGCGCTGGCACTGGCGCCGTCCCGAAATGCCGTGGTCTGCGCTCAAACGAGACTTTAAAGTCTCCTCAAATGGGGTTCAGGATAATATAGCGTTTGAGTCACCTATAGGGCAATTGTGCGAGTTGTATGGCTATCTCCAATGACTTCATTTTCATCGCAGCTGGCGCTGCCACCGTGCATCCAGTTGTTACCTGCTTTGTCCGACCTGCTTGCATGTAACGCTACTACTGTCATTGCAGCCTGGGCTCTCTGGTCTACATTTCGGAGCAGATCGCGGCTGGCATGGAACACCTCGAGTCCCTCGCAATCGTCCACCGTGACCTGGCCGCTCGCAACTGTCTAGTGGGTCACCGGCTCAAGGTCAAGGTCGGTGACCTGGGGCCCAGCCGAGAGCAGTACGCCAGCGACTACGTGACCCTGCCGGATGGCCGGGTCATCCCGCTGCGGTGGAGAGCTCCCGAGGCCCTGTTCACGGTGAGTTCTGGTGTGACTGACCTGTGTAGTTTTGACCCGTGTGTTTAGGACATTTGTGAACGTTCTCGGGTCACCGAAGGCACCCACGTGATATAATTTGTTCTTTTTTAGGAGGAGGTGATTACCCACTCGGGCGTGTGGTCGTTCTCGGTGACCCTGTGGGAGATGCTGACCTGGTGTCTCTTGCTCTGTTTCAGGAGGAGATGAGCACCCGCTCGGACGTGTGGTCGTTCTCGGTGACGCTGTGGGAGTTGCTGACCTGGCGTCTCCTGCTCTGTTTCAGGAGGAGATGAGCACCCGCTCGGACGTGTGGTCGTTCTCGGTGACGCTGTGGAAGGTGCTGACCTGGTGTCTTCTGCTCTGTTTCAGGAGGAGATGAGTACCCGTTCGGACGTGTGGTCGTTCTCGGTGACGCTGTGGGAGGTGCTGACATGGTGTCGGCTGCAGCCGCTGGCGCACATGACGGACGCGGCCGTCACGGACCGGCTGGCCGGCTGCCGCGAGCCGGCCCCGGAGCCACACCTGCAGCAGCCCAACGCCTGTCCGGCCGACCTCTACCAGCTGATGATGCAGTGCTGGCGGCTCCGGCCGCACGAGCGGCCCTCCTTCAAGGAGATCAGAGCCATCCTGCAGCGCAAAAGTGCCGACTTCGAACATTCAGCGGAGGAACTGTGAGGGGTTTGTTGGCTTCCGCGAAGAGGTGACAATGCTCGAGCCTTGCGATCTGCTGGGTGCAGAGGTCACGTGATGTGCGGCCGTGTTATCAACCAATGCCAATGTCTCCCATTCTCATATCATCGGGCCTGTGCTAAGCCAGCGCATTGCTGTAAATCCTGGTATTTCGAAGCACATGTCGCATCTCGCGGTGCTATGTCCGGCGTTCAAGATGTGACGTGACATGCATCCGGACGTGCTCGCTCGGTAGGTAGGTATGTGATGCAGTAAAACGGTGTCCCGGTATGCCACACCTGCCATCGGATTAGACCCGAGGAAATGTCGCGGCGTCTCGCCTCGGCCAGGATCTCAGTCTCCGAAACACAGTTGCGAGGCCGCTACTGAATAACGCATTCTCTGCTCAGGAGCCGCATCTCAAGCATGGTGCTGGTCATCCATGAGGATCGTCTGAGTGATGGGGTACATGGGAGGAGTGCTAATTTAGGCGCATGTACCCTCACTTAATTGCTTGGTAAGACATCCACTTTGTTGAGGCCGGGATACGCGCGTTAAAGGTCACGACCATCGTTTCGATATTTGTTCGCAATACTTTTTCTGAGCCCCGTGTGTAGGTGCTTTCGAGAATTATGCGTTTGCTCGATGCGTTTTGACGAGGACGAGGACACTCGTGTGTGCATGGAAAGATATCCATGCAATTACCACCTTACCAGCCTGTTACCCAAAACCCTGTAAATATGTTCATACTACGTTTATTCACCTCGTTTTGCACTAAGTGAATCAGTTGGTATAAACTTAACCACGTGATGTTTTGATAGAACCTGAAGACGGTCGATGTGTTGTTTACTCTCACATGTTTATAGCTGTCGTCCATGGCCATCACTCAATGACCAATACAGCAGGGGAGAGCGGAGTGAGCTGCACCACATCCAGGCACTATCAGGGTGATTTATTCCGAACATATGCGACGGATTGACGTTCATGACGCTCAGCAGTTCACTCTTTTTCACTCACTTTCCTTTTCTTCACTTTTCACTTGTTTACTTTTACTTTTTTACTTTCTCACTCACCTTCAGTGTAGTTCCGGCTGGCCGCATAGGTACACTCGTCATGGAGCCTCGGCAAGTCTCTTTTTGCATATCGTTGAAAACTGTCGGGATTAGTGCAAATGTACGTTTAAGGATTTGAGGCAAAGTTAGACCAATCTGAATGGTACACTGGGTAGTGGAGAACCACATGTGTCGTACATACTGCAAAGCATTTCGCATCTAACTAAGGAGGATTTCAGAGTCGTGCGAACTTTCCTCCGAGGCACTGCATTATTGACATTATGACAGCGCGTTGGTATTTTTATTACCTATACAGATCCATGACCCATGATCTCCACCTGAGCAGCCGCAACTGACGTGACAGTAGTCGAAGAGAAGCTATGACCCGAAGAACAAACAACATGTCGAGACGCAATCACGAGAAACTACAGAAAGATACAGATGAATGAATGTGTTCGGTTTGCATGTAACAAATCCAGCTTGTTTTCATGGAACTTTCTTTATAATAAAAGTGAATAACAACAATTTCGCCACAACTTTCCCCAAGGTATGGCAAGAGGGAACTTTTAGTGCAAGAGGGAACTTTTACTGCTACAAGAGTCAAGGCTCATGCAACTCCATATATTCTTCCTTTTGCTATCAGGAACGGGCGCGACCAGCAGTATCCCATCACTTCAGAACGTTCATAATTTTTGTCAAGACAAAGCATAGTTCCAACATCGCGACGATGCTGCTAGACATCGCGAGGAAGATTGAAACTCTATATAGCCATTGCCAGCGCATCATTACAAGATAGTCATCTTCGGTTAACATGTTCGGTGCGGAAAAGTATTGCTTCATCTGCTCACTCCCACGCGGTTCAGCCTTTAAGCTGTGTGGGTCTGCAGCTATGCAGCTATAACGAATGCTTGCGGCTGGATCAGGAACATGGATACAGCAGCACGCAAGAGCTACCCATGCTTTCACTAGGTCGGTATTTGAGCACTCATGTAGCCCTGGTCCAGATCCAGCAGCTAGCATTCGTTATAGACACAGTTGCAGACCCACACAGCTGCGAAGCCGACTTGCATGGGAGTGAGCAAATGAAACAGTGTCTTCCCGAACTGAAATAGTCGTTTATAACATGCATACAAGGTCAGTAATGACATAGGTACAAGAGTAGTTCGTGTCGTATTTTAGGCAGTCTAGATTTTAAGACGCATCAAATATTTCATAATTGACGTAAACTGATGATCCGCCTTGGCCCAACCGCAAATTTAACTTAGCATACCCAGATACTTCTGTCCCTTCCAGCCTCCAAAAATACATGCCCCCCACAGTGTGGATGCGGGTGTCCCTGGACGCGATGTGCGCCGTGCCAGACCGAGAATCAAGTGTTTGCTACCACGGTCCCTGCTGCGCTCCACCCATGGTCCGTGTCACAAGGCCGGGCGCGGCGGACGACAAGGCTTTCATTGCTCCGCACACACCAGCGCCAATCGCAAACGAAAGGGAAAGAAGGCCTGACGGGAACCACACGGTCTCGGTGTCGATGCGGTACCTCAGCACGGCTCGCTGTTGGTGAGTCACCACTGTTGTCCTGCACACTGTTTTGAACCACACTGGAAGCAACACACTCGAGCAGAGCGCCTGGGTTTGAACCGGTGGCAATACCGAGGTACTGTGCTTTGCAGCAGCGATTTTTCTTTTCGCTCGGCCCGGATTGGAAGAGGGCTTTTCGCCTGCATTGCAAGACACTGATGGAACACGGAGGCATTTTGGCTTTGCTGAGTGTGCCTGTGACTGCATAGCAAAGGTGACCATCAAACGCGCGGCTTGCTTTGATGTTTGTTATCTAGGCATAATACGGATTCCCTACGAACAAAAATGCAAGCTATGCAAAATGGCGTGAGTAACGAAACGACTGTCAAAAATGCTAAAACATGCCCGTACCACTAATGCAAACGGGTTATATTTCAATCGCCACGCCCGAAGAATCCCTGTGTGACGTTGACGACCACCTGTGGTTACCATCAGGGTGAGAGATCTCGCAATTGTTACCAAGCGTGCACGACTAAGAGTGCCGCTTTAGGAACCGCATAAGGTACAGGCTATCCGATATATTTAGACCAATGCACCGCGCGTGGGGTCAGGAAATTCCACACCCACAAGTGTACGCCCCAAAAATGACAAAGCAAGCTCAAGATGTACTTGAGCTAAAGAAAAGCGTCCCCGTAAAATTACTTGCTGTTTTTAGACGTCGGACGTGGCTTTATTATCTTAGCAACCGGATACGTCGGCGTTTTCCTTCAGAAATGTTATAAATATTTATGAACAGTTAATAAAGGCACATTTGTATGGGGTTTTGAACTGAAATAGCCATCTTGACGACCTTCCGGTGCATTTCACAGCCCTGCCCTTCTAAGACCTAAATAGCCATCTTGACAACCTTCCGGTGCATTTCACAGCTTAAGACTTGCCCTTCTTAAGACCTAAATTCTTCCAGCTTCTGATCTACACGCCCGCAAAAAGGGAGAATTTTTCGGGGGAGGGGGAGTATTTTCAGGTCACCTTGGCATTCAAAACGTCATAATAACCGCATTCCAATTCTGCCATTTCATGAGCCATGCGGCAATCAAGACCGATGCAGGTATGATGGTTGAGTCGTTCATATCTGGCGTTCGTGAGCACGATTGCCAGATATATCGGCCGTCAATTTGCTCTCAATCACTGTTGTACAAGGTACGATGACGTCATCAAAAAATGGCGTATCGAGGAGCATATTTACTAAACAGAGAAACTGCGTTATCTAGAGCCGTCTTTTCCACTTGATGATGATGATTTGGGGTTTTAGGGCGCATGGACTGCTGAAGGTCATGCAGCGCCCATAACTACCAATTTATGCAGAGCCGTCAATCAGAGAACGTCTTTTCCACTTAAAAACATGCAAATGGTCATAAGTCAGCTTGTCTCTTCTTATCTGATGCTTGCTTCAATATCTTCAGATGTAAAACATTACTTTTAACATTCCTTCGGTGCATTGAAGAACACATACCGTTCTGCGTCGCTGATGGTGGATTGTCAGGAGATACGGCCCGTGGCTAGTCAGTGTTTCACGATCCTAATTGTCGTCTTAAAGTGCTTTGCCATGCATTTTAGCTTGTTTGCTCTACTCGCACCATTTAGCGAAATCCTCATCCTAGCAGCCTAAAAGTCGGGAGTACGTAACTATCCCATAACAACCAGAAAGCGTATTTTTAGTGCACGAGCCCTTCCAGCCGACCAAACGGCAGACGTGCAGCGCGTGCGTCACCATTACCTGTCACCCGGGCGGCGCTCGATGCAAGACATACGTCCGGAATCCGTCCTCCCCGCGCCTCTCAAACGAGCGCGGCCCCGGCGCTCTCACGGGGCCATCCATCCTGACCGGTGCCTCCCCCGCGCGGCGGCCGGGCGGGGGCGCGCGCCGCCCGCCCCGCTCCCGGAGACGGAGCGGGTCACGGCGCGGCGGGCTCCACTGTCCGTTTAGCGCGGCGGCGGTGCCATCCGTCAGCTCGGCGGGCAATAGCCGTCCGCCACGGCGCTGTCCCGCGCCGCTCCGGATAAGCATGGAGAGGTATGAGGTACACGCTGCGCCGACTCCGACAAACGAGCGCCCAAATTGCCGCACGGAGTGACGGCGGCAAACGGGGCGCGCGGCGGAACGGAGGCCGGCGACCGACGCGAGAGCCCCTGGTAACCGGGGGGCCCCACGTGGAACTGTGGAACGGGGGCTGGCGACCGACGCGGGGGCTCTGGGGGAGCGGACAGCGCTCAATGAAACTTTGGAATAGCGTGTGCTTGATGCCGACCAGAATAACAGCCCCGTGATGGTTGCGAATACTGCATCCCTCACCCCATCTGTTAGCCAGCACCACTGTCATCCTCAATGGTAATGAAAATATATGCGCGGAAATGCGCGATAACTCTTGATAAAGCGACGCATGCGAACGGCTATGTCGATTCCAGTCGAGGCTCCGGAACAGTAGCGGCGTCCGGTCTCCCGTAGTGGCGCAAAGCACGCGGCTGGTGCGCACTGCGGGGCAGACACAAGTCACAAGTGCGTGCTTCGAGGTAGGATTTGCCTAACCCTTTTGCGGTCTCCAGTATAGGGGCTCTCCAACCACTGGGTGTGCTGAAAGTTTATGTGCATCGGAACCCCGCGCGCCTCCATGACAGATGAACTCGCTGTAATGCAGTCAGCTGAGTCATCCCACCTGATACTCCACGAGGCTCTCCAAGATTTATGGCTGCGAGGCAGCAATTTCGCGTCCCTCGACTCGCCTGCCATATTGCTGCTGACGGCGACGGCGGCAGGCGGGGCACCGGCCTCGCCTCCTGCACCCACGCACTGCTCGTTTAACGATTTCGGCGGGGCGTACGCCTCCATACGCACACCCCGGTCCTGCCGTGGGGAGATTTACGGCGTGAGGGCAGGCCGGATACAGTCCACAAGCCGAGAGGCAGCAGTGTGTGTTGTAATAGCTCAGGTCCAACCCACAAGCGTGCTTGCTGCTTACCTCTGCTCTTGGGTCACTCGAGGGCGTTTTAATCGGTCCGGTGTAGCGTGAGCCATGGAAAGAATCGTGAATGATTTCTATCGCGGTGCGGCAAACGCAACGGAGCGCCGCGCATCGCCGACACGCTTGGCGCCGTAACGGGTGCGCGTGTAGAGGATGTCGGTCGACATGGCAATCCGAGCACGTAAACAGACCATCCGGCAGCGGCCGTCATATCGGCCCGTGAGCCCCCGGCGGATGTTTATTCGAGTGCAGCGGGTGTCTGATGACGATCCAGCGACGTCATGGGTACACACGGCGGTCGGCGCCTGAGCGCCGGCAGGAAATGAGGGCCGCTTCTGAGCATGTCGCTATTCGGAAGGTGCATCAGGTGACCACCGCTCGCTC